CCAAAGGTGCAGGCTTCTAAAGCATTTCCCCTTCTTCAGGACTTCTCAAGAACTTAACCGCTCATCACACAAAAGCATCCCTGCCTACCCACCGCAGAGCAGGAAGGAAGTGGCTTAGCTTTCTTTTTGGGAAACAGAGCCCCTGGGACGGCCTGCCTTCCCTGTTCCCTCAGCTAGACCTGAGAAGGAGAGTTGGGCTTCCCACAGCATCTGTGCAAAACTCCTGGGCCTTCTCACTCTCTTCTCCCCTGGCTGGTTCTTGGACATACCTTCAGGGCTATCTTCCTTTTCCTCTCCATTTCTAGATCTTTAGACATGATTTGCGCTTGTTGATTCATTTATTATTTATTCCTGCCCTCGATGTCCAGTGTGGTCATGACCAAGTACCGCACTGGGGATACATGTGAGGGAGAATAGATGGAGGAGGTCCTTTGCTTTAGGAATTTACAGTCTAGCAAGGAAGACGTTGGTCAAGAAATAATCGTCTCCGTACTTACCTCTTGATGGCGAGTGCTGTGGAGAACACGTGTTCACTCATCGTTTATAGAGAACCTGCAAATGGCAGGCTGAGGACACAGTGTCCAGCACAAAGAGAGTCCCCCTCTGCTATCCCTATTTTTGTGGAAACAGACCATTAATCGAACAATCACACTCAAGAATGGTACAATTACGACGTGAGCATTTAACAGGGAGAGCTTAACAAAGCCTGAGACTCAAGGGTCGCTTTTGGCCATGGTGCTAAAGCAAGTAACTGGAAGGTACATAAGAGGCAATGAGGCCCAGCGAACTCTTCTGGTGTCTCTGCCACATACCCAGCAGCAGGTGTGACAGGTCACTCCTCCATGGCTGTGATTTCTGTATCTACCTTTTATCTTTATTTGGACTTGCCAGGAGCCACACAGACTACTCCAAACTACCCCCCCCCCCGCCACCACACACACACCTAAAACTATACCAAGGCATCAGCCTACCTGGCTGTCATTCCTGGTACCAAGGCATCAGCCTACCTGGCTGGCATCTCTGGTCCCTGATTGCATACTTCACACAGAGAACACCCAACTGCCTTGGCTTTGCTAACCTATTACCACAGGGCTGGGACATAATAGCCACTCATTAAATTGTAACACTTAATATAAAGCACTTTATTTTCATTTCTTTGATAATTAGCTGTGATCCTTTGTGGGTAGGTGCTCTCTCCCATTATTCTCATATTCTCTGCTCCCTGGGGAAAACTTATTATTAACACGCTTCTATCTGCCTGATAACTACCCACAAACACAATGACAATAATAAACTTATACCTTTGCATCTTTTTACTTTGATAAACCTAAACCCCATAGCAGAAGATTAGTGGGAGGAATGTGCAGGGCTTCACTGATTTGCTTGTAACAATAGGACACTGCTCACCCAGGGACACAGCTTGGATGACAAGTCCACCTCCTGTCCCCATTTATTCTTTTCCATTCTTGCTCACCAGGAGTGTCTGGGCTCAGTGAGTTAAGAAAGACTCCGAGCCACAGGAACACAGAGTTCTTTCCCTGTTTTCCCAGTGGCTCTCTGAGCAAGCCACTCAAGGACCTGTGGGGACAGAAAGAGCCACAGGGCAACCCTCCTACTGACTTCTTGGGAGGTCAGAAGAGAGTCCTCATTAAGATAATTTTGGGAACATTTAGCAAAAATGAAGTTCAGGGTCAATGCTCACCATGGTTCACACTAAAGCCCTTGGTGATGTTGAGGAAGGCCAGGTAGTGCAGAGGGCAGGCACTGGAGGGGCCAGGGAACGGCAGTGCCTGCCCTGGGGCTCAGCTGAAGGACACAGACAGCCCTTTTTCACACTTCACTGCTCTCTCACGCAGTGTCCCTGCAGTGGGAACAGGCTGCAAGACCCAATGGCTCCAGTGGCCACCCAGTTCTTGTCTTGGGCTTTACTGATGGACCACAATTCATTTCCCTGGTCAGGAGGTGGGCGCCCCCTTTGATTCACGTAACCACTTCCTCTGATGTCTTTCTCTGGCCCTAATTCTTGAATGGCTCTTTCCTTTCTCAGCACAAGATGTATGATGATTTGAAGGCTCCTGGAAACCATGAACCTACCTAGGTCTGAGCTTTACAAAAGATTGTTTTAAATTGTCTATGTCATATAGTCATATGTTAAAGAATAAAATAGAGAAAATCAGGGAGCAAATATCTTAAATATGACTATTATAGGTTAAGTATCCCTTATGAGAAATGTATAGAGAAGAAGTATTTCAGATTTTAGGTTTTGGAATGTTGGCATAGATCTGCTGTCAGCTTTCTGTGACTACAATGAAATAATTGAGACCATCAACTTAAAAAGAGGAAAGGTTTGTATGGGACTCACTGATTTAGAGATTTCAGTCTAGGGTCAATTGGCTCCATTGCTTTTGGGCCTGTAGTAGGGCAGGACATTGTGGCAAGTAGCATGTGGTAGAGCAGAGTTGCTCACCTTGTGGCAAGAGGGGAAGAGGCCAGAGTCATACCATCGCCCTCCAGGGAATGGCCTGAATGACCTGATTTCCCCACTGTGTCCCACTTAAAGGTTTTTCACTACCTTCCATTAACACTACGGGCTGGGATCAAACCTCCAACTCAGGGCCTTCGGGGAACACTTATCCCAATCCTTTCAACTGGTACTCCAGATTTCAGACTTTCAGATTAGAGATGCTCAAGCTGTATGACCATTTTGATGTATTTTTCTCTGTCTCTTCTCAAAATTCACAAGGCCATCATAAATAAGCATTAAATTCAGTGCCCTGCTTGGCTTTATGTGTCTATCTGTTCTTAATATTGTAATAATTGTAATAATTTTGAATGCCTAGGTACTTCACTGTTCATGGAAAGAACAGATCCTGTTTATCTCAATTGCTCCTTAGGTTTTACATTTTCTTGCATCCAGTCTTTTCACTGGTTAGGATGGCACACTAGAAGGATCATTTTTGTATAAGATCCAGGAACATTGGTGACTGATGGTTCAGGGTTCAGTCCCCCTCTGGAAAGTTCTCTAGGGTGGAGGAAGCTGGCTTGACTCTACCTATGCCCCTTTCCTATTGCTAGCTTGGATTCAGGTCTGGCTGGTGTGTAGAACAAAGTCCGGTTCCCATGTCAATTTATGACAGTTCTGAAGGACCAGCAGAGTGTGTTGGTTTTCTATGAAACGGTCTGTGGCTCTATTGCAATGACAATTCACTCTCTCTCTTCACCCTATCCTGCTCCCCTCATTTCCTGGCAGGTGCTATTTCTAAGATCTCCCCAAATCTCTGTCTCAGAATCCATTTGCATGGGACCTGACCTTAGCTGCCAAAGTCTGGTTTTCCTCTTTCTGTCACCGGAATTTCTCACAAGTTCATTCAATTTTTCTGTTTTGTTCTTGTTTGGGTTACAACGGCTTTAAAATACCTCTTTTAAAACTTTTCAGTAGACTTTATATTTTAGAGCAGCTTCAAGTTTAGAGTAAAATTGAGCAGAAGGTACAGAGAAATCTCATATGCCCCTGCTCCACACATGCACAGTGCCCCCATTATAACATTCCTTCCCTGAGTGGTGCATTTGTTACCATTGATGATCCTACATCAATACATCTTCATCACTCAAGGTCCTCAGTTTACATTAGCCCTCACTCTGGGTGTTGTATGTTATATGAGTTTGGACAGATGTATGTGACAGAATCATACAGAGCCATAACAATTCTCTGTCCTTCTATATGCTGCCTGCTTAATTTCTGGCCACCACTGATTTTTTCACTTCCTCCATAGTTCTGCCTTTTCCAGAAAGGAATTATAGAGTATGTAGCCTTTCCAGATTGGCACTTTTTCTTAGTAATATGCATTTATGGTTCTTCCATGTCTTTTCATGAAAATCCTTCTTTTCTCTCTTCGCCTCACTGTTTCTGTTCCCCACCATCTTTTCTTTGTATGATCTGACTGTTATACAGATGCTAAATAGAAAACTTGAAAGCTAATGGTCCCATCTAATGGTTTTCCTTAGAAATAACCACGCTGCCCAGGAGCAGTGTTCAAGTGTTCTGAAATCTAAGGAAGCAAAAAATTGCTGGATGGATTTTATCCACTGGGTCAAATGAAGTAAATGCAGCAGGAACTGATATATTTATTCTTCCATAATTAATTAAGTACATGCATTAAACCCACGGGTGCAAACCTGAAAACTTGATAGAAAAATCAAACCAGTGATGACAAAATTATATGCTTTGTTGCTATTTTATTGTATGTATATTTCACTCTTTCCTTTAATTCACTCTTGTGAAAATGAGCCCACTCCTGCAATAACAAACCCCTTTCTGTGATAATGACATCAATCCACTCATGAGAGCAGAACCTTGTGTCCTAATCATCTCTTTAAGGCCCAACTCTCAACATATGTCTTGGGGATTAAATTTCCAGCACATGAACTTTGGGAACATATTCAAATCATAGAAGATGCATATTCTACTAGGATTGCTATGACAATTCTGTATTGGAATTTTTACAAAACAATTAGCAAAAAGCCCAGCACTCAATGAGTAACTGTTCAGGAAAGCCAGGCATGGTAGCACATGCCTGTAATCCCAGGACTCAGGAGGCTAAGGCAGGAGGATTGCAAATTCGAGGCCAGCCCAGGCAATTTAGCAAGATCCTGCCAAGAAGAAGAAGAAGAGGAGCAGGGAGATAACTGCTGGGCAGGTCGAGTCCTGCTGCTCAGATCAGCTCTCTGGCTGCAGTTCTCTACTTTCCCCCATTCTGTTTGGTCTGAAGGCAAAATGGATCAATATGGATTAGGTGCACAACTTTCTCAGGTCACAGGATCAGGAGGAAAGTTACAGGATACAGAGTGAAGACATCAGAAGCTCTGGCATCTTTGTGGCCCTGCCTTTTGACTTGGCTTCGTGTCACCTTCTCTCTGCACCCCTTCTCCCTCCTGCAGCCAGTACAGGGTTCTCTCATGACTGCAGCTATCCCTTGAGCCCTCCAACCAGCAGGCATTACCTGACTCCTGGACTCCCTGGAGGGGTGATCTGTTGCCTGCTCTGGCCTGGATGACCTGTCCACCTCCCTGGTCTGTGCTGAGCCTTGGCTTTAAGGAGCTGGTCTCACTCAGTCCATTGGTTTGTGTCTATGGTCCAATGCCCTGGTCAGGAAAGTACACCCTGTGCCACAGAAAGATATCTGTTCAAAACGGTTCAGTAGACAAGGATGGATGGTCAACAAAGACAGTACCAGAGATTATAAAAACCTGTAAATGTGGGATGCTCTATGAATCGAGATGTAAATGAGGACACACTAGTCAAGCGTATTTTCCCTGATCATCCTTGAATGAGTTAGAAATTTAGGAAAGAGAACGTCTTGATTTTGACCTCTTTCTCTCCTGAGCTCCTACTCGTGTGTTCCCTAGATGTCCATTTCTTTATGGGGCTTAGAAATGGGGACACAGCCACTTTCTGATATACTTCTATTCACTTCTCAGTAGCCAGGCTTTCCTTTCTGATTTACTGTGTCTTTTCTCGTCTAAATATATGATGACGACAACTTCCAAGATTTTTTTTTGTCCTGCTTTGAACTACTTGTGAAAAGCAGGCAACAATCAAATGTCCACAGAGTTTCTTTGGCTCCTTTGCAACACTTCAGCTCATCTCCTGTTTCAGGAGAGACAGGTCCTGCTTTTTTACCTCCTTCCCTGTCCGGTCAGATCTGTCCATGCCAGATCCCACAGGTGTCATCTAGCAGGGAGGTTTCCTTCCCAGGGGTTTTCTAAGCCCCATGGACTCCTTCTACGAGCTCCTTTTCTTTCTAAATCTTCCTGTCAGTACTGACCTTCCTCCAAGTTGGTCTTCATGTGCACTCTGAAACTTTTCTTTATTGAGATCGAACTCTTCTGCATCATTCACCTCGTTGGCCCCAATCGCCTCTCCTTTCTTAACTCAAACCTAAAACCTGGCACACCCCAAGAGCTATCTTATTTGAAGTCCTTTTAAGGGGACTTCATTCCTCTTTTCTCCCACATTCTCGTGTCATGTCATTTGACCACAGTGCTTGCTGGAACCCTTTGCTGTTCAACTGCAGATTGTCTAATCACTTTGCTTGGGTCATTGAGAGCTTGTCTTCCCACTCACCATTCTCCTCTCCCCCTAAACCCTGCCATCCTCACAGACACCATAAATAGCTTTGCAGACAATTTATTCAACAGCCTAGCCTCAAGGTGTCTGACACCCTCTGTTCCAGCAATTTTTGCCTGCCCACCTGCCCATCTTCCTGTCTTCCTTCCTTCCTTCTCTTCCTCCATTTCTTCCCATAAACATGTATTGAAGATCTCCGCCAAGCACTGTGATCAGCACCAACACTCCAGCAGGGGTCCAAGATGTTACTAAGTGTCTTTGGTCTGTGGTAATCTCTGGTGGTGATATCTCATCTTAGGCACAGAGATTTGACGAGCCCCGGTCCTCCCTTGCTCTCTCCTATACTCACTTCCTGATCATCTCATCCAGTCTTAAGGCTTTAAGATTCACCTTTGCACTGATACCTCCCAAATTTGCATCTCCGTCTTGTCCCAGTGCCCTAACCTCCAGTCTCCTATGTCCAGTGACGACTTGATATGTCATTTAAAATGTCTCCAGAGACACTCCTCATTCTCCAGCTGCCCTATCCCCACCCTGTACCTGCAGCCTTTTCCTCCTTCAGACTCTATCTCAGTTACATGGCAACTCCTTGCCTCCAGGTTTCTGAAGAGAAAACCCTGGGTTCATCCTTAACTCCTCCCCCTCTCTCACATCCCCTTTCAGTTTATCTGCATATCATTTAGGCTCCACCTCCAAAATAAATTCTGAGTCTGACCAAGTCTTTCCATAGACTTACTGCTACCATCTCCTCCAGGCACCATCTCCTCTCAGAAGCCTTCTAACTGAGCTTCAGGGCTTGCTCTTCTCCAATCTAGTCTTGATACAGCTGTCAGAGGGATCCTGTTACCACCTGGATCCGATCCTGTCACCCCTTGGCTACAAATGCTCCAATGTCCTCCCATCTCCAGATACAAACCAAAGTGTCTCGGTGGCCTTTCGGTCATGACTGACCCACTGCAAACTTGCCGACCTACTTCCTGTCACTCCCTCCTCATGGCCTCACTGGCTTCTTGGCTGCTTCTTAAAGACACGATACACATTCCAGCCTCAGATCCTTTGCTCTGGCTCTTCCCTTGGGGGAGGAAAATCTTCCCTCAGAAATGTCCCTGCCTCCTCCCTCACTTCCTGCATACCTCTGCTCCAGTGCTGCCTTAGTGGTAAGGCCTCCCCTGGTCACCTGATCGTTCAGTTGACAACAATCTCACTCCTGCCTCCTGTTTTACCAACCCTCTTATACCTACCACTGCCTGCTGCATGGATTTATGGTTTAGCTTGGATGGTCTCATGCAGGAGGATTCTGGCTTGATAAAGTCAGTGACTGTCCACTTGATTTACTGCTGTACCTCAGGGCCACAAACTCCTGATGTGCAGTGAGGTCTGGTGGTGACCTAGATCTAGAAGTCTAATTGTTGAGCCTTCCTTGTCCACTGAATCCTCTAAGTCAAACAAAAGAATGGAAGGGATGGGAAGAGTTGGGGGTCTGGAGACACACTCTTTGTCTCCCCCCACCAAGGAAGTCCCCAACATACCTTGGCTGACCCCGCAGGCATCTGAGGAGCACAATTCTGAGACCAGTGATCCAGGAGATAATGTCAACCTTGTGACTATTTATGGGGTTAGAGGATGTTTTGTCCTGTGACTGTCCCTGTGGACACATACACTGGGTTCTTTTAAGATGTTCTCTAATTAAATACCTCTACCTCCAAAGAAAGTCGCTCTCCTTCTAAAAAGATAGAATTTGCTTTGCAGTGATTCACTTTGTGATGCTGTGTTCTGGAATGCTGTATGGTAAAAAGCAATGACTTCTTTGGGCACTTCTTGGTGGTGGGTGAAGAATAAGAAACCAAGATGTTCATTTTTCAACACATTTGTGAAGTGGCTGTCTTGAGCCAGGTGCCTGTGGTTACTGGAGATCCCACTGTCAACCAGACAGGGAGAAGGCCTGACCTACGGAGTTGACATTTCAGATGGCCACGCAGATAGAAGACACTCCATAAGGAATTATTTATTTGAGGGTAGTGTTGCATGCTAAAAAATTAAATTAAGACCCTGCCATAGAGAATGACCGGGGATTTGTAAAATGACTGTAGTCTTGGTCATTGTTCAGTTGTCCTGAGATTCAAGCTAATTTTCCTGTCTCAAGACTGAAGTGTAAAATTTAGTGTTCAGAATGATTATCCAGAGGAGCTGAAATATTAAATTTGTTAAACTTATTCTCATTTTTAAGGATAGAAAATAGAAAGGAAAAAGGAAAGGAGGAGGAGAAGGATAAAACAAGGTTCTAGAAAACTTTGATACAAGATAGACAAAATCCATTTAGCCCAGCAAGGACTTACTGCACTGATTAAAACTGCATCTTATTTCTTTGGCTATTTAGATAGGAAATATAGGAACTAGTACTTATAATTACTTATTTTTTTCCTGATTAAAAAATCACCTTTCTTTAGCAGAGAAAATTCTGGAGTGTTTTTAATAACTAAGTGCCTTGAGTTCAAGTATATCTCATTCTATAATCTACTTCCTTCTGAATTTATGAATGATATCCTCATTATTTGTGGTCTTTGTATAACCAGGAAGAAAAATGTCTTCAAATATTACACTTTGGGGTGGAGGTGTAGTTCAGACACCATAGGGTACCACATGCTTAGTATACTCGAGGCCCTGGGTTCAATCCCCAACACATAGAAAAAAGTTTACATTTTTTGCCAAGATCACAATATATGTTAGATCAAAGTGATCCAACTTAATTCAAATTGATTCACATCATTACTGATGTTGAAAAGGGTTCTGTGTTCATGCTGGCCATACCAACCACTTTGGTTTTCTTGCCAAAGGATGGTTGGAATCAGGTAGTTGACTAACAAGAGGCAGATGTGTCCTTCAGAGTGAATCCAATTACGCTCATTGTGATAGGGAAAGGCCCCACATCACTTGGACACTATTCCCTTCCCATTCATAGACACAGCTTTTAAACTCAGAGATATAAATAACACACACATAAGCATGGAGGGGAATTGAAGATTTTTCAAAACAAATTTCTTTTTTAAAAAATTTTTTTATTATTATTAGTTGTTCAAAACATTACAAAGCTCTTGACATATCATATTCATACATTTGATTCAATCGGATTATGAACTCCCATTTTTACCCCATATACAGATTGCAGAATCACATTGGTTACACCTCCAAAACAAATTTCTGTCATATTGAGGTTTGTGGAGAAAACAAACGGCTTGGTCAGAGAAGAGGCTCTCTAGAATGTTCCTGGTTGAGGTGGCACCAGTCTAGATAGATGCGAATTCAGGACTGTGCCATGAGTAGGATCTGGAGTTTTAAAATATAGGTCCCATGGAGATGCCTGAGTGCCAAGCTGGGACATCTTCTCTTCAACCGTGACACAAATAGTTAATAATAATCATGAGCTTCCCAGTGCATAAGAGATGCTATTTGTTACGTTCATTAGTTCATGATAGCCATGGCACATGTATACCATTGTTACACACATTTGTCAGACGTAGAAATTGAGGGTTAGTTGGAGAATTTGAGTGATCATACACCATAGGTATAAGTGAGGATTCCAACCGAGGCAGTCAGCTCTGGAAACTGCACTCATAAATATCATGCATGAAGAACGCCATTTTCATCTCATTGTATGTCGGCATTGCTTGTAAATTTTGTTAGAAGTGAAAAGACAGTTTATATTGCTAAGACCCAGAATTCCCTTCCCAAACCAGGTTGAAGACCACCCACTGAGAGCAATCAGAACATCTCTACTTAGTGTGGCCCTACTTTATCAAGAAGAGTCAATTGTAATCTCCTCAGAAAGCCTAAATCTTTACTTTGGGGAAGGGGCTTAGAGCACTCCCACAAAGCCCAGACACCTGGGGCAATAATAACAATGAGGGGACAATGGCACTGCTTGATTTTTATCTAGTGCTTGCTATGTGCTAGGGGTGCAGGCATTGTGCTAAATAAGTTACATAGATTATTTCAATGTATTCTTTTTCAAACCTTAGGAGATTGGTGCTGTTGTTATTTTGAACATTCAGATGAGGAAACCAGATTTAAGTCATTTGTCTTGCTCAAGAACATTCAAGACAGAACCTTGAGTGACAGATATTTCAACTTTCATCTACCCCATTGCAGAGCCAGAGTCCTTAACCATTAAATTCCAAGGTCAAACTGATCTAAGTGTCCAGGGTATTTGGAATCAGGTTCCATGCCTGAGTCAGAAATAATCAGGACCTGCTAAAAAGAAGGTAGAGTGAGGGTATCACAGTTCATGGATCCATGGATGCTTTGGTTAATTCTCTTATTCAACAAATGTTTCTTGTATGCTCACTGTTTGCTCAGCTAAGCTAGTTCCATTCATGAGCTCTTTAATTCATTCAGCAAACATTTACTGAGTGCTTCATTCTGAGGACATAAAGATAAGTAAGTCCCTGTCTACAGAAGCTCCACCCTGGCAAAGAGGTTGTGTTGACAACTCTGGAAAAAATAATCAGTAACCCAAACAAACAAACATACCAACCCCCACCAACCCCAGGGCTTTGTTTCTAGAATGCACTTTTCCCATCTGTGGGAGCCTGCTAGGACCCGGAGCTCACCTATGTCTGTGTATGAGGGAAACTGACTTCATATCAGCTGTTGAACGACACATATGGTGCCCATCTTAGACTGTACTTCATCATTCACTAGTGGGTTTGAGATATTCAAAAGGTAGATTTATATCTCAGAAGCGGGAATGAAGATCAAAACTCTGTACACTAGGACTTAATAGGAATTGGGGTAAAGTGGCAAAAAGAAGATGGGGATGCATTGATGGGCTTCAGGTGAGACAAGCCCCATGGCAGGGCAGAAACTAAACAAGGCTCTCTGGAGGGATACAGCAGAAGAAAGAAAATAGTTGACAGAATTTTAGAACGCTGCTATTTAAAACACTGTTTTAAAGGGAAGAACTACGGAATGAAATTGACCTAATTATGCTGTATACATATATGAATATACCACGTGAATTTCATCTTTATGTATATCTGTAAAGCATCAACTTAAAAATTATAAATAAATGGAAGGAAGACTAGTAGGGTAGAGGAAGGGGAGATGGAGAGGGAAAGAGCAAGCACTGGGAACTGAAATGAAGCAAACTATATTCTATACATGTGTGATTATGTCAAATGGAGCCACATATTATGTATAACTGTAATGCATTAATAAAAACACTTTTTAAGCCGGGCATGGTGGTGACACCTGCAATCCCCGCAGCTCACAAGGCTGAGGCAGGAGGATCGCAAGTTCAAAGCCAGCCTCAGCAAAAATAAGGTGCTAAGCAACTCAGGGAGACCTTGTCTCCAAATAAAATACAAAATAGGGATAAGGATGTGACTCAGTGGTTGAATGTGCCTGAGTTTGATTCCTGGTACAAAAAAACAAGACAAAACAAACAACAACAACAACAAAAAAGCTACTTTTTAAAAAAGTCCTAAAATGTAATCATTGAAAACTTAAAAAAACACACAGAGAGTTTGAAGTTGTTGACTATATCATGCTTGACTACAATCTAATCATCTCCTAACCTCCCCCACCAAAAATCTTCAGAGGAAAGTCTGACATGTGGGTGTTATTTGGAGGACAGAGAGGGAAGAGGAGGCAATCTGAATTGTAAATTGGAATTTGGTTCAGTAACTATTTATGAAGCATCCAGTATGTGACCGGCAACCCCGGTCACAGTCAAATGCAAAACTAAGCAAGAAACAGACCCGTTCAGTAGGATACAATAAATGCTAAAAAAGAAATGAGCAGAGTGCTATGGGATTCAAAAGGGGAGCCTCCCACAAGCAGAAGGCCTGCCTGAGCGGGAACCTGCTTGGGCAAGGCCTTGCAGTACAGGGAAGACGAGCCTGGCAGGGAGAGGCTACAAGAGCATTGGCAAATGAGAGAAGCAAAGATGCTTGGGGAGGAACAGCAAGGTCTGTGGGAGGAGCCCCAGGGCTCTGCCAGACTCATTCACTGCAGGACTAGGGAGATGGGAGAGGGGGGTAGGTCATGGAAGGATGGGTGCATCCTGGGTACATTGGCTATTCATCCATAAGTCCCAGTTTCCAGCCAGGTACAGTGGCACATGCCTGTAATCCCAGCATCTCAGGAGACGGAGGCAGAAGGATCGTGACTTCAAAGCCAGCTTCAGCAAAAGTGAGGTGCTAAGCAACTCAGTGAGACTTTGTCTCTAAATAAAATACTGGGGATGTGGCTCAGTGGTGGAGTGCCTCTGAGTTCAATCCCCAGTACCCGCCCCCTGCAAAAAAAAAAAAAATCATAAGTCCCAGATGCCAAGCTGAATTGAGAAAATATGTATATCTGTCTAATTTATAAGACTTCCCCCCCCCAGAATATATTCTGTTTTTTTGTGTTTTTTTGTTTTGTTTTTTTTTTTTTTTTTTTACAGCAGGGTTGCAGTGACTTTTCTTTTATAAAAATATAGTGATCATTAAATGGTCACTGTTGATTCTGAATGCCTTATTTGGCAAAATAAAATATTGGCAGGTAACTCTACATGACTTCCCAATGTTATCTTATTTTACCATTTATTTTATTTTACTTTGCTTTATTTACCTTTCTTTTAAGCTGCCCTATGAGATCCAGCTGCTGGAAACTGGGGCTGGGGGGAGGGGGATGGAGAAGCTCAGCTTTTGCTGAGTGAGCAACAGAG